GGCGGAAGAGGGCAGGGCCGGCCATGCGGGCGATGGGGAAGGGTAGTCCGTAGTCGTGAGTGGAGGGGGATTCGGTTTCTCCAGCTTCTTCCTCATGCTTCGCTTCATCGCATTCCAACCCATTGGCCGGCATTGTGGCATCGTGTGGGAGGCGAGGAGGAGAACCATAGGTTCCAAAAGTCTGACTTCAACGGAAAAAATATAACGTCAGTGCTCCTTCGGATTGGAACAATCGCATTGTTATAGCTTTCTTAGAGGAATATTCTTATACAAATATTTCATATGCCTTCTTTATGTAAAATTGTGTTATTGAAATATTCTCTCACATTAATTAATTTGAGGTTGTGTGTGTTATTCCAATAATATAATGAAAATTAAAATAACATCGAGAATATGTCGAATAACACAGCCCCAAATCAAGTATTGCGGGGAAATATTTCAATAACACCGCAAAGTAATTAAACAACATCACATGATACTCGAATAACACTTCATTTTTTTACAAATAACGCTGATGAAATATTCTTGTAATAAAGCAGGATATTCCCATAACACTTCGATTAGATATGTATGTATGTATATATATATATATTGCTTTGCTTTTTCAGACCGCCACCACATTTTTTTTCGGGGAACTATTTTTTTTTGTTTTTCTTAACTTTCTGGGGAGAAAATTATTTTTTTCAATCTAAACTGTTAAAATATGTTAGTTGTCAAAAATTTGTTGTATGACTTTCAAAAAATAAAATATGTTATTAATAGTCATCACCATTTTTTAAATGTTGTTTCCTCTGCAGCAGCTTCACACATGTTTCTTTAAAGGGAAATACTTCAATAACGCAGCAAAGTAATTGAATAACATCACGTGATACTCGAACAACACTTAATTTTTTATAAATAACGCTGATGGAATATTCTTGTAACAAAGCAGGATATTCCCATAACACAACCACTATTGGAATCCGAACGTATCTCTACGTTCGGAGTTCTGACGTAATATGTGCTCGACTTGAACATAGGGTGCGTTTGTGGAGGCAGTGCTAAACCACCGTTTGTTTTGTTTGGTCAAATTATGCTTTGTCTATATTTTAAAATAATTATAACTTAAATCTTAGTTTTTTCTTCACGGCTAACTTCTTACGGTGGCTGCTAGAAAGTTGCAGCCTGACACATAAATTTTTTTCTTTTTTGTAACGGACACTATAATTATTTGAAAATCAATTTTTTTCTTCAATAATATCATTGTTGCTTCTTCAAACAGCTACAATTCCCCTAATAAACCTTTAATCTAACCGAAGAAAAAATAGTGAGTTTAAATCTTAAGAAAAGTAAAATTTCTTTTTTTTCAAACATTTCACATGACCTTCATATGAAAAAGTTGAATCTCACTTCTAAAAAATCAAAATGATGACATTTTTTTTATATGATGTGAAAGATTTGAATGTTATGAATGTATAAAAAAATGTATTAGATATGTAAATATATAGATATTGTGCGGTATGCATGTAAATGCCCTTAAAAACTAATATATATCCACCTCAAAACAAGCTAAACAAAACCCCTTAGAATATATACATATAGATATATATATATATATATATATGTTTTTAAATGTATATATAATCCAAACCAAAAATCATTTAGTGTATGTTTTTCATAACTTTTTTTCTGCTTTGCTTTTTCAGACCGCCACCACATTTTTTTTCGGGGAACTATTTTTTTTTGTTTTTCTTAACTTTCTGGGGAGAAAATTATTTTTTTCAATCTAAACTGTTAAAATATGTTAGTTGTCGAAAATTTGTTGTATGACTTTCAAAAAATAAAATATGTTTTTAATAGTCATCGTCATTTTTTAAATGTAGTTTCTTCTGCAGCAGCTTCACACATGTTTCTTTAAACAGCTACATCTAACCCAAATATACTTTTAACCCTCAAGTTTAAATATAGACCCAAAATTATCTTAAGGACTCGTATTATTTAAATAAAAATCTTAAGGTGTGTTGGGACAACTTTTTGTCTGCTTGACTCCTCGACACTCCACCACACTTCTGTTTGGGAATTTACTTTCTTGCTAGAAAGTTGCAGTATGACACATAAATTTATTTTTTGTAGCGGTCACCATAATTATTTGAAAAGCAACTTTTTCTTCAATAATATCACTGCCGCTTCTTCAAACAGCTACAACTGCCCCTACTAGACCCTTAATATAATCGAAGAAAAAATACTGAGTTTAAATCTTAGGAAAAGTAAAATTTATTTTTTTAATACATATCACATGGCCTTCGTATGAAAAGTGGAATTTCACTTCTAAAAAATTAAAATGATGACATATTTTATGTGATGTAAAAGATTTGAATTTTATGAATGTATAAAAAAAATGTATTAGATATGTAAATATATAGATATTGTGCGGTATGTATGTAAATGCCCTTAAAAACTAATATATATCCACCTCAAAACAAGATAAACAAAACCCCTTATAATATATACATACATATATATACATATATACATACACATATATAGATATATCGAAACCAAAAATCATTTAGGGTATCTTTTTGACAACTTTTTTTCTGCTGCGCCGACAGACCGCCGCCACATTGTTGTTCGGGAAACTATTTTTTTGTTGTTTATTTTAACTTTCTGCGAAGAAAATTGTTTTTTTCAATTTGAACTGTTAAAATATGTTAGTTGTCGAAAAATTGTGGTATGATTTTCAAAAAATAAAATATGTTTTTAATAGTCATCATCATTTTTAAAATGTAGTTTCTTCTGCAGCAGCTTCACACATGTTTCTTTAAACAACTACATCTAACCCAAATATACTTTTAACACTCAAATTTAAATATGGGCCCTAAATTATCTCAAGACTCATATTGTTTAAATAAAAATCTTAAGGTATGTTGGGACAACTTTTTGAATGTTTGGCGCTTCGACCTCCACAACACTTATGTTTGAGAATTTACTTTCTTGCTATTTTTTTGAAATTTTTGTGGTAGAAATTAATTTTTTTAACCGAGACTTTTAAAGCGGGTGGCTGTAAAAAAGTTGCGATATTGTATTTTGAAAATTAAATAAATTTTTTATAGTCAGCACAATTTTTTTTAAAATAAATTTTTTTGCAACTGTTTCACAGATGTTTTTTAAAACGACCACAACTTGTTCAAAAATACCATAAATTATAAGTTTTTCAGCACATATATTTTTTATGCTAAATTAATTGGTCGATCATCAATTATAAACTTAAATTTTTATTTTATTATTGGTTCAATTTCAGTTCAAGCAGATAAAAAAACCCAATTATAATTTAAGAATGCTACTAATATCCTAAGCAGTAAAAAATGCCTAAAAGTAGAATATAATATCTTAAGGAAGAAATACACATCAGAAGACACCCTAGATTCGCCCTCCCTGCATACTTTAAATAATTGCTATCCAACCCCAATTTAGCATAGTCAAGCAAGCAAGTCTTGTCAAATTAAGACCCATTGATTTGAGTCGACCAAATTACAGGGTAACTGAGTTGCATATCCATCTATATAAAATATCTAAAATATTATGTAACGCCTTTATTAAACAGGTGCGAACATGTAATTTCACATATTGTGTCTCTTCTTTCATAAATGGAGATAGGAAAATTGTTTGATGAGAAAAGACTAATAAACATAAAACAATTATTAAAAGCTATTTACATGCACATAATTCTTGTATATTTACAAATGTGACAGCTAACTTATCATATTTGTATGCACAAAACTTAATTATTTAATATCATATAAAAATGACAATAATGATTTGTTTAAAAGTGAAACACACATGTTTCATACATAATTTTATGAAATCAAAGTATTATAAGTTTATCAAATTTTGGTTGTTAGGTATGTAAATACATAAAAGATATATGGTGTGTATGTAAAATTCCCTACATTAAATTATCAATTAACTAAATCCATATTGGAAGCATGGGCGAATCTTGCTGGACAAACGTTTTCTTAGGTTGCAGTTGCTTCGGTCCCTAATCGCAATATGAGCTCACGGTGCTAAATATCTGCAGGTTAGGGGACGAAGCTCTCGCCGTCGGCTCATTTCCCGGCGCCGCCGTTTATCTTCAATCAAACAGTCAGAAGCCCTTTATAGGCGCTGATTCTCCCATTCACCCTTCTTTCTTCCACGCCGTTCTCCGCATATTGCCTTCTGAGGTTCGCTCTGGCCATGGTTTTACGGCCGCGAGGGATCTCATGACGACGCCCTCATCGATCACCTCCAACGAGCTGAACTTTCTTGTTTTCCGCTATCTACAAGAGTCGGGTCAGTTTGTTTCTGGCCTTGGAACTCTTTCTCTTTCTTTTTTGGAGTTTCGGAGGTTCAACCTAATTTGCTCTTGCGGTGTGGTTGATATTTTTTATTTGCAGTCTGGTAATTATTCTAGGGTTTTATTTACCGCGAATGTTTTTCTTGATTTGATTGTCATTCTCGGACCAATTTAAGGGTTTTGAACTATTCAAATTGCGTGTCCATGTTTGCTGTTATGGATGAGGAGTTTTTGGGAGAATTTATAGCTTTTGATTGGTTTACACTTTACCGTGAATATATGCTAAAATCCATGCTTCTGTTCTATGCGTTGCTGGGAGAATATTATATTGAGTGCAAGCGCTTTATGGTGGGTAATACAGTGGTAATCGAGTCACAGTGGGTCTTTAGGGTCCGATGGACTGAGTTTTAGGGTTGGCATTGGATTGTATGTATGCTATGTCTGCTGTATTTGGCAATCCTTCTTGATTGATGATAAATTTGAAATCGCTTTTCTTATTTTTCAGTTTATTTTGTTATATTTAGCCACACTTGAGTTGAAAATTAAAACATTGATGCTAATTAAAATTGATCATTAAAGTAAATCTAAGCCTAGCAACTGGAAGATTTAGGCTATGTTTGACGTAGCTGCAGCTTCTCAGTTTTTCCGCTGCAGCTGCGCAGCCCTAGGAAACTGCTGATGGGAAGCCGACTGTAGCTGTGGGGCAGCTGTTTCTGGAAAAATAATCATTCTAACTATCTTTATTAAAGTTGTTTAAAAGTCAATTTCAACAAGCAAATATCATGCAGAATTTAAAAATCAATTTCAACGAACACAGAAAGTGTTTATTTGCATTTACAAACAAAAGCCAAAGTGATGAATCTTTAAGGAGTAAAGTGCCAAAATAGTCCCCTCACTATTTTTATGGGGACATTTTATTCATTTATCTTCAAACATGGAGAAATATTTATTGTGCATATATTTACTCAATAACAACAATATAAAATAAAATAACACTAGTAGGAAAACTAAAATCTTTAATTTTACAATCATCTTTACCACTCTTGTAGCTGCAAAATTGGGAATCACAAGAATTCGCAATCAAGCCAATGGCGGCGTCTGCTTAGCAATCTCCAAGCCACGATTCCTAAACCCCAGAAATCTAGGAGGACGGTGGTGAAGAGGAGGGAACGGGGGGTGGAGAAGAGGGATAGCTTGATGGCGAGGGAATGCAAGGATAGGCCTAGAGGGAAGGAGAAAGGGGAGGAGGAGAAGTCAGAGCAGGCGGAGAGGAGAGTGATGCAGGTGACGTGGTTGGGGGAGGTTGAGGAAGAGAGCATGGAGGAGAACTCGGCAGCGGTGGCATCGAGACGGCTGCGGCGGGCGAGTTGGTCGATGGAGTAGGTCTAGAAGACGGCGCTGAGGACCATCCGAGTAAAAAGCCGAAGGAGCTGCGGCCCGTAGTTAAGCGAAATCGCGGGGGACCGCAACTGCCCCACCGCTCCAAACATCACAAATTCGCACCGCCCCAAACGGGGCCTTAGTGAAGCTAGCTATCGGTAACAATGTTTAGGGATCTTTTGGTGAGTTTTAATTTATTTTATGTATTTGAATCTTCTGAAATCCGATTTCACATTTGCTATTTTAATGTGCGAGCAATTTGTATGAATCCACTTGATGCATTATCTGATGAGTAAGTGCCAAAATATTCCCCTAATTATTTACACGGGGGAATTTTAGTCCAAGAGTTTATAAAACTGTCAAATTAGTCCTCATAATCTTTTAGTACGGGCTGAAATAGTACCCGGGGAGGAATATTTTTGCCTTATTTAAAAAAATTTGGGGACTACATTGACATTTTTATAGACTATGGGACTCAATTGACCTCCGACAAAGAGTCACAATAACATTTTGACACTTTCCTAATTATCTAACCATTCAATTTTTTTATTGCACTATGCACGAAAGTTCAACCAAGCTGTTCTACTTAAAGCATTTTCAGGAGATATTGGCAGTCTAGGATAATCGTTTTATTACTTATTTTAAGCATGCAATACTTTGTGTAAGTCAGTTATACCTTTATTGGCAATGTTAAAAACTTTCGATGGAAATGAAATCTTTCTTTTTTTTCTTTTATCTAATTTTTTTTTCTTTCTTTTATCTTATATATATATATATATTTGCTCTAATTGTTCGATATTTGCTCTAATTGTTCGATAAATAAGGTGCTATTATCATATAATTCGGAGTTGATATTGAATTCAGATATAAAATGTTAAAGTTACACTAATAGTAGAACAAATTTTTTGTATTGTTGTTGTTGGGGGAGTCGAGATTATTTCAAGTCAGTTAAGCTACATCTTGGGCAAATTAATAGGTTTATGGCATGCCTATGGGTGCACAAATTTGCCAAACCTAGCACTTGCCTCAATTATTTCCTTCATCAGAAATTCATAAGTTAGAGTTGATCTTATTACTCTTTTTTTTAATGCATAGAACCAACATAAATACTTTTCATGCAATTTAGATCTAAAGTTTCTCAATTTACTACTTCGTTAAGTTTGTTGAAATATATGGATGTAACTTTATCTAGCCGCTTTTGAATAATGGATTTTGGCAATTAATAGTGTGTTGTGTCAGTTTGGGTTTATTAGGATGGTGGAAAATCTGTGATTTATTGGGTGGTCTACTAGTATACTAGGAACTTATATCTTATTTGGCTTTCACTGAAGGACCGCTTTACACTTCTATGTCTTAATTTTACACTCCCCACTCATTGGACTTATCCACAGCAGTCATCAATAGCCCACAAAAGACATATTTTCAACATTATCTAGTCTCACACTTGAAGAGTTCACTCAATCATATGAGGCCTATTTAGGAGTCTTCTACTTGTAAATCGTATGTGATCATGATGGAAACCATTAAGAGTCATGAGAGTTATAAATCATTTAAAACACTTCATCTCAAGAGTACTATCAGCTTTGATTTCACTTGCCAGGATGGTGGAACATTGATGACTCTATTTGTCATACTGCATTACTGGATAAATGGATGTCAATCCAAAGGGTAAAGTTCATGGGTAGTGGCCACAACCAGTATGTTATAAACTTAATTATTATTGTGCTTGTTATGTGAGACCATTTTTTACTCCCATATGTCTTATATAGACATGCACATTTTGATTATGATTATTTAAAAGTATTGAATTATCAGTTTTAACTTGTTTCTTTTTGTTTAATTTTATATTAAGTATTTAGCATTCCATCAGTAAATTTAAGGAATATTAATTTTGTGTTATAACTTCATGATGGAGGTTATGAAAATTTAAATGAAATTCTCTAAGCTAGGACTATATCATTAATTAAGTCGGAGCATGTAAAGAAGCAGCTTCATCACATTGCTTTTATTTCTTCTTTTGGTTGGGTGGTTAGATGCTAATGAAAAGGGGCTTTCTAAATTGACTTGGTTTGAATTTTGTTTTAGAATTTTAAAAACTCTATTATTTAGGGCGACTTTGCCCTTCACATGAATGTTTATGGAGGCAATGTGTCCCGAGTCGAGGCAGGGACGTTAAAAAAACATAAAATGGGAGCGGTTTAGGAGAGATACTTCTTGGATGGTGTGAGTTTAGAGGAAAGAGAGGAAGGCATGTTTTACCAAGCAAAAGAGGGGGATTACACTTTGCATGAACGAATAATGAAATATACATTGATGGTGTACATATTTCTGATGGAAGAAGGATGAGGAGAGAATGACATCGAATAATAACTCTAAGTGATACCAGTCTCAAGAATAATATGTAGATCCACTAAAAACTTGTGATATACATATTTATAAGCAAAAGGATGTGATCCTATTGGATGCTTGTGCTAGTTATTGTAAGGACGTGTATGAGACATGGATCCTTTTTATCTGCAGGCGTTCGAGGTGATAGGCTTGTGGAAAGAATGATATTATTGTTTTGGCGCTAGTTGGTGGTGGTGTAGCGAGACAAAGTTATGGTCCACATATTTTTAGTTTTGTCATATTGACCTCTTAAAGGTTCATCATGTGGTGTTGAAGATGAGGGTGCCAACATGAACTTGTTAGGCAATGAAGGCAAGTGACATGAAGCTATTAAACATAATGCAATGATAGGGATGCTTCAGTTGGAGTAGACAAGCTGACATAAAGGCTATAAAGTAAGAGGGCAATAAGCGGGGGGCACCAGGTTGATAAGTCAACTCTACAAGGTGCTATTGGAAAGGATGGTAGTGAAAAGTCTCAAGTGGAGATGGATAGATGCAAAAGTTATAGGATAGGAGGCAGATAGAGGTATGTTAGGCGTGAGGGTGGTGATAGGGAGATGTCAAGTGAAATAGACATGTTTACATGAATTTAATGGCTTTTTGAGTTTATTACGAAGAAACATTAAGAATTATATATCTTAAATGTATAATATCTATTTAATTTCACGAGTCCTTCATTTATTACATGAAATGTTCTATTTCATTTTTTTAAAAATTTAAAATGGTGATATTTTTTTATGAAATATGAAGGATTAGTGTTGTATAAATGTAAAAAGTAGTGTTTAGGTGTTAAATATACAAATACATAGAATTAGGTAATTTGTATATAAATGCCCCTAAAATATAATAAAAAAACTTAATCAAATTTTTGTTATTCAATTTGTTTGGTTAAATAAAAATTCAAACCGAAACAATAATTGAAAACCGAATGTTAATTGTTCAAACTAAAAATAGAAATACATTTTTAATACCAAACCGAATCAACCAAACTTGCTTGGTTTGGTTGGTTTTTCGATTTTGACCAAATAATGTACACTCAAGTGCCTAGGCTAACAAGCACGAGTTAATGATCACGCGATGTCAGGAATGGCTTGGCAAAGCCAACTTCGAGTTTAAGAGATATTATTCTACTCAAAAGTGTTCTTTATGTTTGAGACATGAAATTGAGTCACAATGTAGAATTAGAGCAAAAATGATCCTCCTAGATGGCATAACAAAGATTGTGGTTAGAGGGCAGTTTTCAGTGGCTAGTTAACAAGAAGGTTTGTCGGCATTGAGAAAATAGGAAGATGGCGATGATTTGATGTTGAATGGTCACGTTCAATAGTCTTTGTTGGCCCTTCTCAAGGCTGACTCATCATAGGGTGTCAATCTATTCCACCACGTGTATTGGTTTGTTATGTTTAAGTACACACACACAAAGAGCTTTTTTCTTGTTGATGGGGAATAGGAAACAATTTTGTCACTGGTGTTGTGGTTATTCGCTCAAAGAAAAGTATGGAGGACAATCTCTTTTGGTCTGACTCTCGAAGTAGCTGATAAGTCTTCATCGTTCTTGGTGGGTAAGTGCGGGCGAAGCTTTCAAAATCGACATTAGGAGCTGAGTCATTGATTATAATGTTTGAGATTTCAAAGTAAATGCACCAATCACTTAATTTTTTGTCGTGAAATTTTCTTATGACATTAAAAATCATCAAAAGATTGTATTTTTAGTTGAAGCATGGGACCTACTAAGCCAAGGTCTTTCTCTTATAGAGGCTCCGAATACAAATGCATTGCAATTGACAACTTTCGTGATACTTTATTGGTGATGATCTTGGCTAAGCTGGAACCGTTTGACCAGCTTTTGGTGTATAGTCAACAAGCCATTCCTCTAGTCGAAGGAGGAGGTCATGAAGAGTAGTGCTCTTAAGAGGAGCCATCAATGGTGAAGGTGTCGTTTGGTCTTATGTTGCAAAAAAGGAGAGTGCGATAGCTTTAAGGATCCAATAAGAGTTAGAGGTGAGGTGGTAGACATAAATAACATCTTTGCAACTTCAAAGGCCAAGTCCTAGAGGTTGGACGACCTACATAGATAACTGATCTTTAGTGACTAATACATAATCAAAATGAAAGCTAGATTGATTGTCAGGTTTCATAGTCATGATATAGGAACAATATCAGGTAATCATCTCTCGAGATGAGCTTGAGAGGCAGCTGGTGAGAATTGTTAGTATTGACCTTACCGAAGAGTTTGGGAAGGTGCTTACAAGCCTTGGATCATAAATTGGTAGGCTTAGCCTCTTGAATCAAGTGCATGGAGGAGAGCATTTGACCCATTGAACAAATAATGTGCCACACGATATTAGTTGCGGAGGAACAAGGGTTTACTGATTGACGAGGCCCTAAACAACCAAGCTTCAGTGATTTTTTTTCGTAAAAATGTGGAGTCACACATGATTTTTGGTTACTCGTGAGCTTACGATTGCTAAGGACATGCAAAAAAAAGAGCCTAGTGTAGGTGGCATCTCTTGGCAAACCTAGTAGGAGAGGACACTATACTTTTAAATGATGAAGTAAAATCAAGTGAATCTTATTATCCACAATTGTTCTTTTTTTTTCTTTTGGCAACCCGTCATTACATTCAATCACATTGTTTGAGATAGAAAACTTTTTTTGTCCTCTTCTTTACTAGACAACACCTGTGACTTTTAAACTTTTGCGTCCAATCTAAAAAAATGAATCCGTTGCCTTTCATATCTATTCATTTATTTAAGTAAACTAAATTCAGAGATGAGTCCCTTCTTATTTGAGGATGGGTTGCTCCGTCTCTCGAGCTTCATACTTTTTTTTTTGCTCTTCCTTTAATTTGGGAAGATGCTCTCCGAATCTCCAGAGGCATCCACACAACGACTCTTATTTGAGGCCATTAATATGAAAAAGAATAAAATAAGCATAGGTGATGACTTAATTTTTCAATGTGATCAACATCCGTACTTTGGGATAAACCGTGCCTATGATTCTTTATATTCGTTTTAATTATATTGCCTTAGGAAGTTATTGGGACAACACCACTTTTTATCATTTTCCTAACTAGGAAGGTGTACCGATGGTTTTTGTCGCCCATGCTTGACTCGAAAATTGAATGTCGCTCTTCATATCAATCCATTTACAAGTAAGTGGGATCCAAAGTAAGCACCCTTCTATTTGAAGCTGGATGGCTTCACTCCATAAGCTCACGATCTAACTTTTTTTATGTATCATTTTATTTGATTCCGCAGTATGCCACTTAGATGGGCCACTCATATTAAAAGAATTCCATCTTTAAACATGATTAGAGTGTGTAGACATTCTATGTTTTGTTTTGGTGATGATTTCATTCACTTTACTTTAGATTGTGCTGAAATCATTATTGAGCCTAAAAACATGTCCTGTGGCAATATGCTTTGGGTCAGTGGGTTTTGTCATCTTCATTTTTAAGTATCATGCAGATTTGATTGCAGCCTATGTGTCTTCAAAGTTATTTAGATTATATTACTTTTGTATATCATTTTTTGCTATTCTTATGTCATATTTATGTTGAGGGATTTACATACATACCAGGAAGATTTATGTATTTATAAATATATCATCTAAGTCTTCATATTTATTTTATGCGATCGGCTAATGTCTAGATGTCATCAAAACATATTATGAAAATGTGTGTTTCATTTTAGATTAAGTTAATATTAGTAGCAGTTTGGACTTGATTTAAAGATTATGATTCAGGTGTTACACAAGTAAACATATAAGAATTTTATAATATGTATATAAATCCCCCATTTGTATTTTATAATGAGATGGTATTTATGTATGGTTGCTAATGTATACTCTCACTCAGTTCAGGTTTCACGCATGCTGCATTTGCTTTGGGGTATGAGGCAGGAATCAACAAGACGGCGATAGATGGCAACTTGATTCCCCCAGGTGCTCTTGTTACATTCGTGCAGAAGGGCCTTCAATATGTGGAGTTGGAGGCAAACTTGGATAGTGTATGCATGCAGCAATCCTATTGTGATCCTTCTAAATCGATCAAAAAAATAAATAAAAAATAAAAAAATGAAAGAAAAAGATGAAAACTACGTATTTCTCATCAGAGGCATAATGAAACTATCTATCTATGTTGAACCACATTTGTGTCTATTTTTGCTTATTTTGTTAGGATAAGCTAGAAGTTGATGATGACTTCTCTTTTCTACAACCTATGGACCTTCTAACAAAAGATGTTAGTGAATTACAAAGAATTATGAAAGAGAAGAAGCAAAATCTTCAGAAGGAAGCTGAGAAAGAAAGGCGCGAAAAGGATAAAGAAAAACAAGAAAGGGATAGGGATAAAGCAGAAAAGGTTAAAGAGCAAGAAAGAGAGAAAGATAGGGAAAAACAGCAGAAGGAGCAAAAAGAGAATTTTGCTGAAGATCTCGATGATAACAAGGCAAAAGGAAAATCTGAAGAAAATGGAGTATGTGGTGGTAAAATCTCTAGAACATGTGTTTTTTCCATTCGTCTTATATCATTTCTGGTTGCTCTTGTATTGCACATTCTTTTGAACTAGTTAATACCTCTTGCATATGCATTGGCAAAAATATTTTTATGACGAATGCATGGAAAAAATATTATAAAAAAATAAAATAATTAAATAAAATTTTCTTTAAATTTAACCTTAAAATAGAGCAACATAAGCATATGATAAAATCACTAAAAATAATACAAAGTGTAAGTAAATAATGGCGTAAAACTTAATAGTTTATATGTTTTAATAGATTATTAGTTTAAATATTAGATGTTCTTATGATGCCTTCCATACATGTTACTTTAAACAAGGAAAAAAAAAAGAAAAAATCTAATTGGCCTTAGTTATGGTTTGAATCCTAGAGTAGTTACACAAAACTAGGAAGCAAGCTAAATTCTAATTAAAAAAAAAACACATAGTTTGTCTCTCAATGAAATTTTATGGATTTATTTTATTCTTGTAGTTGTCATTGAATGGTTATAAAATTATGGTAGCGCTTATAGTAGGGTAGCTTGGTTTTTAATCATGTAAGTTGGTTCTGTAAGTGATTTAAAGGCATGATTTTGGTGGCTTTTCTCATCATGGTTACTTTGATGATATTTTCTATCTTTTATTTATCATGATCTTTTCTATTGTTATTGGTATCATCTCCACCTCTCCAATCTCTTATGCCTTGTTTGTCCACCACATGGTTCAACTCCTATGGCTGAGAACGTATATGACTTGCTTACTATATCTTATTTATCTCTTAGTTGCTTTTATAATTCAATAAATAATGACTTTTCCTTCTTGGTTTTTTATCATCTCACTTTATGGCTTATCAACCTTAATATTAATATTGGCTTCTCATTAGAGCATTGTGAACATATAAATCTAATACTTCCAATGCTAAGCTGATTCTTTTGAATTTTAAAGCGAAGTTTTTATCAATTGTTGCTACGATGCCATAGTGAGAATATGTACCTCAAAAAAAAATTTCATGAAATTGGGTTTTTAATAAATAATCTTCGTTTGCCCTAGCACTGCGAGTTGTTTTTCCAAATGGTATTATCTGTCGGATCCAGAATATTTAGGAATCTTGTTAATTTTACCGACAAGCTAGAATGCACTTTAATGTATGAACAAAACAACACTTAATGAAAAAAATTAATACTCACTTGGTGGAGTTGGCCTCTCGTTGAAATTGATCTAGTAGTGCTACACAATTTATTGCCATAAAAAGAAATATTTATTACTATGGAAATGAAGAAGTGGCTAAAAAAGTTTGCATTGTTCATTGTTTGAATGGATTTTTATACACAAAATTACATAGAATGAAAATGTTAATAAATAATTAGAATAACAAACACAACCGCACTTAGCTATCCTGCCGTTCGATTCATTTAGGAATTGTCAATTAATACCAATTAAGCAATAGGTGGCATGTTTCTTTCTTTTTTTAATATGAATCATTATGAAACATATTTGTTTGTAAGCATTGTATCCGTGGCCTTTATTTTTTCTTATCTAGCACTCTCACTTGCCCTTCTTAATATTGAGGTTGCTAAACTCTTTGGTGAATATAGAAGTAGGTTGTTTTCTTTTCGAGACTTATGGAGTACAAATTAATCTATTTTCCTTTTATTATTTTATATTTCACATGTTTAGTATGATCTTGTTATTCAAAATTGTGAGTAATACTGATGACAGTTTTATCGTCACAATATATCTACATATGATCTTCCCATCCAATTTGTTATCTCCCAAAATAATTTTAATTTATTAAAGTTCACAGATCCCTTGATTAATTGCTCTAAATTAGTCAACAGTGGATTTTGAAATGATAAGTTGTTTTGTCTTTCTCCATGTTATAAGAAATAAATGTTTCTTATTTTAACCGAGCAACTTCAATACTCAAAAAGTATTTGAATGTGTCCAACTTTTTAATTTCAAAATTTTTAGAAAATTTTCCCCGAGTAATTCATTTTCTTCACTCTCATCTTCTGTAATGATTATATCATTATTAAATATTAAAAATTTTTAATTTTTCGTTAATGGGGTATTTTATGAAAGGGTATGGTTTCCTTGACTTTATTTATTCGTCATTTTATACGTGGCTTTTGTAGATATACTAAACCATGCTTATGGGGATTATTTGAGATCATAAAGTGTTTTTTTAATTTTTGCAGCTTATTTTTATGAAGAGTTATTGAATCCTGATGATGGATGTATATAAATTTTCATCGTCCCACGTAAGAAAGTATTCTTCACAACATATTATTGCATGGATCTTCCAAGGATAGGGACAAGGGAAATTAAAAATGAATTATATTCATTTTTGCTATAGAAGCAAATACTTCCTGATAATTAATTTAATAGGATTGAGTATTTCCTTTGGCAATTAATGTTACTTTATATCGCTTCAAGCTTCTATATGTTCCATATTTTAATGGAAAAATTCATTTGCACTCCACAAATTTTTTTCTTTTCAGCAATTCAGTGATATTTTAAGTATTTTTTTCCAAGATATTGATCATTTCTCTCATGGAATATTTCTATTTTTATTTTTCTATTGCCTTAATTAGGGTTTGAGGTACTTTAAAGGAGTTGGTGTTGTTGTTTGTAAGAAAGACTTTATGCATAGGAGACAATTTTGAATAGATGTGTATTGAAAAATAGGATACAGTGGTGAATGTATGCTGATTGGTTGATCATTTTTATCTAATGATGATTTGGAGTATTGAGCTTGTTAGAGATTTTGGATTGGGTTGTTCCTCTTTGTATAGACGTGAAGTTTTATAGTTATCCGAGTTTGCATAATAGAGATGTCATGATGGAAGATAGGCGTTTCATCAAAGTTATCTTGTAGCTAATTGTCCTTTTGAAGATGAGTTTGATTGAAAAAATTGACTTTCATGAAATACGGCTTCTTTTGATATCAATAGTCTTTTGGTGGTTGTATGATAATACTAATATCCTTTTTGAGATGTGGAATATCTTCAAGCATACATTCGAGTATCTAAAATTAAGCTTATTTAGATTTTTTTTTTTTTTTTTTTACCAATGCCCCAAATATTCTTTTTTGAAGGGTTTTCGAGAAGAAGTTTGGTATAGGATAAAATTCCATAAGGCAGTTCTGGGGAATTTTGAATTCGATTGCTCTCGAGAGTAGTATTTTTTAAATTATGTTTGTGGCAATTAGGTTATATCTCCCGAATAACCCTTGCGAACTTAATATTATAAAATCTGAATCCTAATAATTTTTAGAAGATGTCAATTTTTACTCTATGCCACTCCATTTTGTCGGAAACGTGTCAAGATAGAAAGATTGATGGATTAAACTTTATTTATTGAATTAAAAAGATAACTCAAGAATATAATTCACTCAAAATATTTAGACGGTAGCATGAAATTGATTTTTTTCCTAGCAATAAAGTAGGCAAAATAAGAATCTGTTTGGGACAAGCTTTCTTTCTACTTTACTTTTCAGATTGCCACCACAGTTCTGTTAGGGAGATTGTTTTCTTGCTGTTCTTTAAAATTTTTGTGGTAGAAAGTAGTTTTTTTCATTATGAGCTGTTAAAGTGTAGTAACTGTCGGAAAGATGTGGTCTAACTTCTTAAAAATAAAAGAAATTTGTACTAGCTGCCGCAACTTTTTTAAAAGCAGTTTCTTCTACAGCAGCATCTCAACTGCTTCTCCAAACAGATTCAGTTGCCCCAAATAGACCCTAAGACTATCTTTAGTTCTTTTTCTGATAAGCCACATTCATATCATTTGAGTACAATCATAAATAAATGTGATAAATCTAGTAATTGTAAAAATGTCAAGAATTTTTTGAAGTCCCTAAATATCAAAGTGATTAATATAAAAGGAGCAAATGATTTATAATCACTTTAAATAAAAGAAACAAGTTGATGTGTTTACAAGACTAACAATGAAATTCTTTAATGTTAATATTCACATTAAAAAGAATGTAATTGTACTTCATTAGATTTTGAAAGAGGGATGTCCTATCCTATAATGATGTTTACAAATGATTTCTATGTTGGAGTGGAGATGAAGAAACACAACAAGTGATTTTTGTCTTCTAGAAGTTATAGTCCATCTTTTTCTCTTGCTGACCTAAACATCTTTTTCGTCGTGAGATTATGAAATATGTAATGATCAATGGATAAGATTACTTTGTTGTTATGCATTTTAGTGATTTTATGGATTGACAGAAGATTTATCACTAGGTGAGGGATATCTATAAGATTATTGAGGATTAATCTGGGAGAAATAGAAATACCCCTTTATGACTTGCAATAGTTTTTAGGGAATTATTGGATACTTTTATTTTTTTTATTATAGGGATAAAATTTGCAGACCCCAGGTAGTGAGATTAAGGCTTTGTTGTTGTTGTTGTATAGGGATAAAATTTGTAGGTTTAGTAAAGGTTGATAAGTTTTTTCATGGACAAGTGGCTCTTGAACTTAGGATCTAGGTTTGATGTGAATTATTTGAGGCATTAAAAACATACGAGTTAAAATTTGTATCATTTTGAGCAAAGAGAGCATGACCTATAAGAATCTATTGGGAGTTTGAGGAAGTTCTTGGGTTTGCTAATTTTTTCTTAGTTGAGCCTTTCATATTCCACAAGATAAGCTTGTCCTTTGAAGTGATTTTTTTAGCCTCCATCATAGCTTTTAGGCATTCTTTAGAGGCTTTTTTTCATTTTTTTTTTGGATGTGTGCCTTTTTCATTCAATAATGTCATAATAGATTATTTTGGGAGAGGTTATGTCCTTCCTTAAATAAGAATGAACGATCACTAATCTCTTTTCTTTCAGATTCTATGTTTATCTTAGCTTATGTTTCAAAGTTAATGTTATTTAGCATTATCATCCTTCATTCTTGTTTTGCTCGTAAGATTTTTTCTAGGGATTGTAGGTTTTTTTTGGTTGAAATCTAAATATAAACCAATCAAATTCATTATTGTGTCCTACTAGAAACTAAAAACGTTCTCTTTCTACAAATTATTTTAAAATTGATATATCTTTGCTATATTTCATCTCAAGTTATATCTAAAAAATCTTGTTCAACGTCAATTAAAATTTGTTTTTATACGCCACCAACAAATTTTCATCATCCGACATGAATCTTGAGGCAATATTTTGAGCAAGAAATATTTAAATCTTGATAACAAGTCATCCAGAACTCCGATTTCAGTAAACTTATAGTCAAACTGGCCGGCTCGATGAGAAGTACCCAATGATATAAAAACTAGTCCAATCCAAATCAGATCAAACCCAGATCAAATTATTAAACGACGCTTGAAGGACTTTCGAAAGCATTTGAAAAATCGAACGAATGTCAAATTTAGCTAGTTCATAGTTGAATCGAGCGTCTCGACAGAAAAATCCAATGAGCCCAAAATTGCTCAATTCTGACATCGTTAATGCATTCAAATGTTCATCAAATATCATCTGATCAAAGGAAGCTCTCCGGACCGTTTGATCAAAATGATTCATATTCTTGCATTAATTGCACTCAAAATACTATAAATAGAGTCCTACCCCTCATATGAAGGAGAGACTTGAGAGAGAACTTGAGGCTTTGAGAAGGAGCTTAAGTTCAACATCATCTCTGTCATCGCAGAGCGCCGCCGACGACTGCAGACTGCCGTCGGCTACCACCGAGCACCGGCCGCCGCCCCCCGCCTACCGTCATTGTCTGCCGTCGACCACCGCCGACCACCGCCTACCTGCACCAATTGTCAACGACCACCGTTGACCTCCGTCGATTATCGTCGAACCGCTGATCTCCGCTGACCTCCATTGTCCACCGCCGACCGTCATCAACTGTTGCCGACCACCGCTAACCAGACGCCGTCAGTCGACGTTGTACTTTGGAAAATCTAGTAACTATTTCCCGTCTGTGGGGCAAGTGATCTCTGTAATCATCAACTTATAGTGAATTTTTATAACTGAGCCAGACCCCGTGGTTTATTTCTTTTATAGGTTTTTCACGTAAAAACTTTTGGTGTGATCACAGGTTGATTTATTTTCATCTGAGTGTGTGCTGAATTCTTGTGCAACGCGGAGACGATAATCCATTAATCTACCACAGTGAATTTTTTTGCACGCATCAGTTTTATTAAAATATTAAATGATGGAGAGATTATCTTGCTTTTTGTTGAGAATTTAGTTTTGATTTTATAAATGAAAATAACATTTTATACCTTTAAAGATATTTATTTTACAGCAATCCAAATATTTTTTGTGGTTGTGAAGAACATTTATGACTCACTATTTTGAAGTATTTTGGTATTTCGTGATCATTTTATGATCATGAAATTTACTTCATTCACAAGTGCAAATTTTTTATCTTTTAGTATTAAAGGAGAATCTATATGATGATGAATTTTTCTCTTTCATTTTGGAAATCACAATTTGAAATCATTTTAGTTAGTTTCTTCCATTCAATTGATATGAAGCCTATGGCCCATGGATCTCTCATTACCTGATTTTTATCATTTCTAATGGTAGAGTCCTTGTAGGGGAAATCAAATAAACCAATTATTTTGAAGAGAATAATAAAAATAAGAATAAAGGTTAAAAAATAAAACTTTAACTTTGCGCTTATACCATGTTTGAAAATTTTGATTTGTTCATTTTTGCAATGGGTATTTGTATACAAAATTACATAGAAAAAAAAAAATTTAGTGACAATAACAAACATGAAAACTGTCTTTAACCATCTCTACATTTAATCCATTTAGGGATTGACGATTGATGCAAAGAGAGTGAATTGTGGGTTCTTTCTTTCCTCTTCTGTATATGTATATGTTCGATAGGTATTTGCTTGTAAGCAAGGAATCCGTGGTATTTACCTGCTCTTCTTAATACGATGGCCTTTCAACAATTACCTTTAATGGAACATGATTCTGTTTGATATTGTTTGCATACTGTATCCTCTATATTTTTTATTTATATTTATCTGTTCGGTTTTTTATTAGGACTTGGTTTTCTTGCCTACCAAGTTCTTTCTTTTTGTTCATTACAAAAAAAAGTTAAGGATTGAAATGTTGTCTGATAAGTTTATTGTACCAGTTGTGATTTGGAGGGTTTGCTTATCAACTTGGTGGATGGGAGTGTTTTGTTCAAATCTAACTGCTTTGTTCCCATTAAAGTTTGGGTTTTTGATCCTTACCTCATTTATTTTCTCAGTCGAACCCATTCACCATCTAGTGTAGCAACATCTTTTATTAGTGATGTGGCTTCTTCAATTTCATAAGCATGAATGATAAAGTTTACAATAGTCCTAAACTGTTATTTTACTCCGTTCTAATTCAGAATAGGACCACTAGTTGAGATTTTTTTTTTTTTTTTGAATTTTAGACCATGCATTTATTTTGTTTTTTTTTTGGGTTTCATCATTGTTGTGAAATCTATATATTACAACCAAATTCCTAAATGGTTACATAGGCTTCCTTTCTATTTTTGCTATTATCGTTCTATGTTTCTGTTATTAATTCCTTTATTACAATCAACCTTGAAAACATAGAATTTTTTACCTGAAGAGGAATAAAAAACTTTATTTCAAAATTTTTTTTGTTTCTTAAAATCGCTTACTTTGAACTTTTGAACCGGTACTGCTGTTTGAAAGTGAAATAAATTAATTTTGTGGGTACAGGGAATCAGTATGGATTTTCTTGTTAGTCCGTTTTGTCTATATTCATGTATGACTTGTAGGTGCTAATTTTTTTCCTTTTAGGTTAGTGAAGCAACTAGTACTGCAACATTTTCTTATGGTTACTTTTATGCATTTTTCTTTATGTCCTACTACACCCCATACATTATATTACTTATTAGAACTTTAATTTTATTGAAACGATTGATTTAAACTTGATAATATTGCAACAATCACTTTAGCGATTTGACCACTTGAAGCTGATCATTAATTTTAATAGAATCAAAAGGTCTTATCTGAATGAAACCAGAGATCAGATAACTTGGTTAGATATAATATTTATTTTACTGGTTCAGGGTTTTCTTTCTTTAATTTGATATTTAAAAATTGAGAAAAGTGTCAAAATGATCCCCTGACTGACTCTTTGTAGGGGCCATTTTAGTCCCAGAGCTTATAAAAGTATCAATTTTGTCCCCAGGCTCCTTTAATATGGGTTGAAATAGTCCTCAATAAGGATTATTTTAACGTCCATTAAAATAGTTTGGAGTACTAATTTAGCATTTTTATAAATTCCGGGCCTAAAGTGACCCATGTAAATTGTTAGAGGACTATTTTGGCACTTTACTCTTTGAAAGTTTTTTTCGGTTGCAGTTCTTAACTTTTGAGTGATAATAGGCCCTGAACCAATGGATATAACCCCTACCCCACAGTTTGTGGCTTCTGAAATTCACAGTTCTGAAGTAACCATTTTGGAAGGCCATGGTTCTGAGGTCTGTGTTTGCTTTAGTATTTAAGTATACTTAAACACAAATTGCTTTATTTTAATGATTTCAATTGCTTCACTATATCTCTTCCCATTTTGGTGATATGCAGGTTTTCGCCTGTGCATGGAGCCCAACAAGTTCTCTTCTGGCATCTGGGTGTGTAGAATCTCTTCCTACCTAATTCATTTTGGTTTTCTTAATCATCAGTGCCATGATTTCTAATTTTTATTGACTAATCCTGAACCTTGATCTTAAATTAGTTTCAGAGATGAACCCTTAATATTTTGTCTCCCGTGTTGATGTTGCAATTGGAATCCACTGATGGGCTGAATTGGAGAACTTTTACAGCTTGTTCTAGTCTAATGGCTTAATGGCAGGCCTAAGTTTTGTTGATCATAATCAAACTTTTCTCACGTGCCAATGGTCACTGGCAGACATCAGTTTTGTATTGTGCCCAAATAGTCAGTTAATGTTAGCTTGATGTTTGATCCCATATTTTGCTTACCTTATCCTATTTTCTCTCTCTTTCTCTTCGGTAAGTGGCTGCTCCCTTCTTATGGCTCATTTGCAATGTGGATTTTGCTTGCAATAACAAGTTAATGACCATCCGAAATAGTGTACCTTGCCTATTATTTTGACGGCCTTCAAAGTGCTGATTCCTTAGGGGATAGATAAAGAGGAGAGGGAAAAACTTTATCATTTGATTTTACAGCCTTTTAAGTCATGTAATACTGATTCTAGAATTGGGGAGGGAGGGTGATAATGGTGTTAACCTAAACAACAATAAACAAATAAATATTATCACTGAAAAACCAATAAATGGTTATAACCAACACATTAAAAGGGAAGTAACAACAATACACACAATGCTGAACTCAACTAGATGCATATCCCAAAGATGAAGGTGAACAGTTATATGGGTGTGGTGGAGGACGTTGATGACAGAATGTAGCTGTAGGGGGAGTAAGGTCGGGTGAGTGAAGTTGTAGGGGGGGATGGCTGCGGGGGAGATTGTTGGTGTTGGAGTGTAGGCTGGCTGCTGCAGGGTGTCTGAGAAGGGAGATGGTTGGGAGTTGGGTGGCTGGAAGGTGATAGGGAGATAGGGGACTGACAAGGAAGGGTTAGAGGAGGCTGATAGTTGGAATAGGGCAAGGATGTGGCAGGTGTGCATGGCGCCGATTGCTATAGGGCGTCTGAGAAGTGAAACGGTTGGGAGTTGGGTGGCTGGAAGGTGATAGGCAGATAGGGACTGACGGAGGAGGTTGATAGTTGGAATAGGGAAAGGGGTAGCTAGTGTGCGCGGAGTTGGAAAATAGTGGAAAATGGCGCTGGTCAGGTAGGGTGGCGAGGGTGTTACAACTGGGACATTGCAGCAATCCTAGACGTGCAGGGGTGACGATAAAAGTATCATATGGGTGTAGGAAGGGTGCGGCTAAGAGGAGCCTTCAAAGAAAAGCAGTTGTGGCTGCCCTGGGTGATTGCAACGAGAGAGGAAATGACTGCAGAGGCAAGGAAAGTTGGAAATAGTTACCAGCTTGGAACAAGATACAACTGAAGCATCGCTTGCCATAGGATACAACCCTGGATGGGAAGAAGAGAAGCTGGCGACTGCCTTGACAGAAAACTTAGAAAAAAAAAAGGACATGAAAGTTGAAAGCAACATAGAAATAATACAAGATAATTAAGAGGGGGCAACCCCACTCCTAATGGGCGGTAACCCTAATTCACTAGCCAACCCCCTTTCTTCCTAGCTGGACCGGTTTCAGTTGCTCTAGACCGGTACAACCAAAAGAGACCCCCGTGTTAGAGGGAGAGCCAATCTTGAAGATTTTGATTCTTAAATTTAGAGGAATGAGCAGGGGACAATGAGAGTACTAGGCACTTATGAAATTTCTGATTCTAGAATTTTGAGAATTGGATGGGGTGAGGGTGGGCTACTCATGAAAGTTTTGAATCTTCTGATTACATATTTAGGTGAAGTGCAAGATCGTATGGGGTGGTTTGGGTTTGGTTGTGGGGATGGAGAGAACTGAGACTGAAATTCTTTTTGAAGAATGAATGGGGTGAGGATGGGCTACTCATGAATGTTCTGATTACATTTTCTGGAGAAAAACAGGGCAGTATAGGGGAGATTGCAGAGAAAAATACTTGTGGCTGCCCTGGGTGACTACATTGAGGGATGGGGATATCGTATTTGATTCGCTCGCAAAGTTAACAAGTCGAACGCGAACAAAGATTTTTCGTTCGTGTTCGACTCGTTTTGACTTGAAATACTACTCATCAAAGAAATATATATATATATATTGATGAATAGTATTTAAAAAAGAATTAATTGAGTACAAAGCTACAAGGAATTATAATAAATTAAAAGTATTAATTAAGAAAATAGAATAAAATTATTAAATTAGCTTCAAATAATGTTTTAAAAATAAAAAAATAATTTTTAAATCTTGCCACAACCCTTAACATCTATAGCTACATGATGAGGGTTGTCTTACGATTGCGTGATTAGGGCTGTCAAAATGACTTTTTTTGCGAACAACTTGTGTTCGGCTAGCTAAGCAAATGAGCCGAACATGAGCACACTTTTTGTGTTCGAAATATAAACGAGTCGAACATGATTTTGTTGACCTCATTTTCAGTGAGGTCTTAGTTTCCTACTCCTAGAATCCAAGATCTAGCTTCAGGAGTTCCATATTGACCTTCCTAGTGGACTAGTAATGAAGTCAACCTCCCATAGAACTTCGAACCACTTCTTGACCTATTTTTGTGAAGACATCACATGAGTAGTCCCAAGTACTCTACTCTTAGTTGCAAGGGCTAAGGACAAATATGTAGATGACCCAAAAAATTGAGTTCCCGTAGGATCAGACGGCTTTAGGTAAATCCTTTGTGACTCGACAACACGAACACTGCAATTCACACATTCAATGTGCAAAAACCTAGCAATTCACGTCACCGACACTTACACACGTTGCACCAGCAATTATACCAAATCAATTCTCAAAATGACCCGTTGCGAACAAAAAATTCGAAGAAAAATTAAATTTGACGCATTTTTAACTCGATTGTCGGCAAACTTATTTAGACGACCTTGGATGGCAAAACGGACCGCGCAGACACGTTTGGAATGTCGATTTTACCTAGGAAGTATACCTATATTGCTATGTTTTTGCGCGCGCGCAATTTACACGGAAATTGATACACATACTTTCTTTAAATTAGGGGATGCGGGTCCAGATTCGTCTCTGATTCGATCCAGGCTGAACACAGGCTAATTACCTCAGTTCATACAATTTATAATTTCAAAATTACTTGCCCAACCTGAAGTTTATGAGCTTCTAATTAAGCCTAGAGCACTCAGGGAAACTAATGAATTAGTTGTCCAATCTCCCGTAACGCCTACTTTGAAGATTCAAGCATACAAAGAAGGGGCTCGCGTCTCTTCTCCACAAACACACGACTCGACTCTTCTCCACGCACCGAAGCCACTCGCCTTTCCTCTTTGCCACCGATGTCCGTCGCTCTCCCTTTCTCCGGATCCTTCTTCCCAGAGAAGCACCGCATTCGCCCGCTTCGTCTCTCCCGCTCGAGACCCTCGCCTTCCTTTAAAGTTCACCCTGAAACCTTCGCCCCCTCCAGTTCGCTTCTTCTCTGCGTCGAAGACCCCCGCTCACTTCTCTTCCTCGCTCGATCGAATGGTCGTTCGGTTCGCCTCCGACTCCTCTCTTCCTCGCCTGACGGAACTGCCGTTCGGCTCACCTGCTCCCTCTCTCGCAACCACTCGATCCCGGCTCCCTCTTCTCGCAGAAAAAGCTCTGCTCGCCTCCTTCTCTCTGCGTACCTAGACTCTTGCATGTTGCGACTCTTCTGCTCTGCTCCATCTTCCCCGCCTCCTTTATTCCTCACGACACAAGCGCCGAGCGAACAAGAACCTCACCTGCTCCCTCTTTCTCGACCTCTCGAGTCTGCCTCCCTCTTCATTTGTTGGGTTAGGGATTGATTTCTGCTTCGTGCGAGACTGCTCCTGCACACTCCTCAGCTTGGTCTTCCTCCTCTATAGCACCCTATGCCAAAGCTCCTCCGACATCCTCTGCTGCAGTCTCAAGGTAAGTTTGTCACTTATTGGTGAGTCCTATCCGGAATCTAACAATCAGTTAGCTGTTTACATATTGTTGACCTCATTTTGAGGTCATTTCTCTTCTCTTTAGATCCTAGGATCTAGCTCTAAGAATTCCTATTGACTAACTTAGAGGACTAGTATTGGGATCCATCCCTATTAGAAATTTAAGCCACCTCCTGATTCTCTTGTGGTGTCTTGCATGGGTGATCTCAAACCATCGTTGTTTGGTCAAGTGGTTAAGGACCAACATGTGGGAAATCAAAGAGAAGTTTCAAATAGGATCTCAAGCCCTAGGGAAACACCTTAAAGACTTTATCCAAAACATAATCCACTAAGTTGCGCAAGGTCGAACTAGAATTGAGCTTAAAAAAGAGGTGAAAATGTGAACTTCTCCAAACGACCTCTGATGGCGAAACGGACTACTCTGGCGCGTTCGAGATATCATTTTTAGCTAGGAAGGACATCCATATTACCATAATTCCGCACACGAGCAAATTACACGCAAATCGATGAATTCGTTAAAACGACCTTGAATGGCGAAAAGGATAGCGCCGGGGCGACCAGAACGTCGAAATTACCTAGAAAAAAACATCTATTTACTAGGGTTCTGTGCACAAATAAATTACGCGCAAATTGATATATTTAAATAATATAATATTATAAAACAAATAACAAAATAATTTAAAAAAATAACAAAATCCTCGTTTTAAATCTATTTCACCTAAGTTGCACATGCAACCTAGCCTTAATTCCTAGCCTTAATTTTTTCGGCCGAACCCCTCTCCCCCTCTTCGGTCGCGCATGAACCCTAGTCGCCCAAGCAAAGCCCTAGTTCCGCAACTCGTCTCCCTTTTTCTTTCCCAGTTGCAGCCCAAGTGGAGCCCTTCTCCCACAGCTCTCTTTTCGTGAATCTTCTGGGCTGAGCGCAAGCCCCATCATTCGACTCCTCTTCTGCGTGAGCCGCTCGACCGAACGGCTCGCCAATCGCGAGCCTGTTATGTGCCCGACGCTTCCTCTGCCCTAGGCTGTATTT